TTCACTCTTTCCACCAAATTTTGGGAAATTGGGTGAGTTTTCATGTTTACAAATATGTGACGGCATGTTTTTAAAGTTTTACAGAGGTATACTGGGCAGAGTTACAGTTGCTAGGATATGAAGGACCAACTGGGTGAACCAAATTGCTACAGCACCACCCTGAGGCAGAGCAGTGCTGCAGCTCTAGTTAGTTAAGAATACAAAAGGCAAAAGCTGATTGTGAGTGAAGCGGGTAAACAAACCTTTCCCTAAATTTGTATTTGAGTATCTATTTTTCCCTAACAGACAGAATAATTTCATGACTTTTAATTTTCAGGCATTCGAGGGGTCCAAGAATTTCACACTTTGGCTATAACCATTCACAGTGTAGTACATTACAGCAGATTACAGTTCTGACTTCATTTGGTTGTGATATCGGTGACTTTGAAGACTGTTGTGTTTATATTTTGTGTGTATTTATTTATGATGTAAACATTCAGATCTTCCAGGACTTTTCCCTTCTTTTCACATTTAATTTGTAGCGTTGTGTGGATGCCAATCATCAAGGAAGAGCAGAATGCAATGTGTTTGCTCAGACAAATTCAGAAAAATATCAAAATGATTCAACATTATAACTAGAAATGTAAGTAAACCTGTTTAACCTAAAATGCTGAGCTCACTAAACTTCCGAGAATGAGTTAGATAGAAGGTAAAACAGATTATTGGTAACATTATGATACTATGTTCATGAACATTTTAAGTCAACCAGATCTACCTACGTTTTTACCTAAAAAGTTTGTTGTGTTTAGTTGTCTTAAGTTCAATTTAATTGCCAATAAATGTAATTTATACATTTCACGTTTTTTGACATTTTTTAGTTCTAATGAACTCAATTTTTTTACTGTTTAAAGTTAAAACACTGAATCATTTTTTTGTTTTTACAATCCAATGTACACCATTTCCACTTGTTTATGAAACCATGTGAAGTCACTGTGGAATGTCTCAAATGTTCCAGGTCAGAGAGAGTCAAGGACACTCCTTTTTCAGTGGAATCTTGAAATTCAAGTCATTGAAAATCGATAACGGCATTCACAGCACACTGATTTGACTGAACAGGGCTTCTCTGAGCTCAGTTTGATATGTAAAGCACTAAAACACAAATATCTTGCCAACTAAAGAGCTTTCATCCGAAACCACCACCTGTTCAATGACATATCCCCCCAAGCCCACCTGATTTTGTTCATGATAAACCAACATTTATGGCTTTGCACATTGCATAAAGCACAATGAGCCTATTTTACTACACTGTCAACTCAGCACAGTTAAAAAAGAATGCCGTCAAGGTACTTCATAGTATTTCATGTCTGAAAACAATGGCTAAGAAATCCAGTGGAGAACTAAAATGGGTAAAAAAGCAGAAGTTCATTGTTGCAAACACAAGTTTTGTTCCACTAATAATGAACATAGAGTAAAGAGAGAAACGTACCTTGTAAGGACACATTAACGCAGAGTAGTGAGATAAGAATGTGAAGCCAGAGTAACGTGTGCTTCATGATTAACCTCCACTCGGCTGAGAAGGTTCCACTACACGCCTGAATGTGTAGAGCACACGGAGCTGATGGTCTGTCGTGCCTCGGCGCTTTGGAATATTTGCACGTAAGAGAACACAGAGGTGACTCTTTCTCATTATCACATGACCTGTTCCATGTTGTTCCTCAAAGCCTGCGTGGGTGGGTGTCTGGCATACACGCCTATATGTATGAAGTCATAACCTCAAAGAAGGCTGAGCAAGCAGGTGCAAAAATAAGCCATGTTTTGTTATGAAAGTCTAAGTGAATACAATAGATGTTTTTTTTTAGATTAAAAACTAAAAAAAGGTTTTTCAAGCATTCCTTAGTAAAACAGTGGTTTTATACAGAAGCACAAACACAATTTCACGACTGTTTGTATGAAAACAGAGTGAAAAGTTTCTTCAGATTGACAGAGAATGTGTTGTATATGATTCTACATGGAACCTTTTTAAAAATGGTTCTATTAAGCACCAACACAGGTTCTACAGGTGTGAAGACAAGTTTGTAATAATAGAAGCCCCCTTTTCAGTGTTATATAGAACCATTCACAGCACATTCTCCATCAATCTGAAGAAACATTTCACCATGCAAAGGTGTTTCTTTGAGTGTTCATGGTTCTAACTAGAAGCATTAAGAGTTAAAAGCATTTTTAAGAGCATAGTCTGTGTTGACTGTATGTGATTCTATGAAAAGATTGTCCACAACATTTGATGAAACACGTAAGAGAAAAAAAAAAATTCTAAAACGACTGTTTTTTAGCCAAAATTGTGTTTATTTGGGTATAAAATTCAAATAAAAGTTATATTTCCATAAAATCAATGCACAAATGTGTATCTATATACAGTTCTTTGCAAAAGTTTGGTCAATTTCCATGTTGTTGTTGATTTTCTAAGTAAATATAAGTTATCCTCTATAGAGAATACATGCACTGTTACTGTATGTTTACTGAATTTAACCAAAAAAGAGGCTTGTACAAAAGTTATCGAATTTTTCACAATTTTCTTGTTAAATGAAAAGTGTAGCATCGTGGCCACCATTTTAGGGAAATAAAACAACAGAGGAAACAATTATTTCATTAATATCTGTCAATCAATCCCTCAACTGCTCTAATGGGGTCAAGTGAAGTCAAAGTTTATTTATAGAAAACTAAACAAAACGGCAAAGAGAGAGATTTAAGATGAACATCGATAATTTAGAGACGGATAGACTTATAAGTGTTTATAATCACTCCAGCTGGTTTCCTGATACGTTTAATCTGCAAGGAGAAACTGACAAACACTAAGAAGTTACGAAGCTTAAGTCGCTTCTCCTTCACCAGTTTCCTGCCAGAGATGCAAGAAAAGTGTCTATAGCTGAGCTAAAGCTTAAAGCAGAGCAAAGTAAGTCTGCATTTTTGTTTATGTTTTTAGTCTGTTTATGTTTTTAGTTTGTAGCTCTCAAGGTGGTTTGATCATTGTTGAAAGTCTTTCTAACATTTGGGTTGAGACCCCTGAGCTAGAAGCTGCGACGCTCCACAGACAAACCCCCCATTTAAGAGGAAAGATGCAAACAAAAGGAGACGGACAGGCATCTCCGAATGGCGTCTTTTATTTGCTAGCCCCTCGCTCACTCTGAAACAGGGGACATGAAATAATTAGTTACAATGTGCAAAATAACAACTACAAACAAATCACACATACATTTTAACAGTATATCATCTTGTGAAATAATATTATAAATAATACTCTGAATCTGATATATATGAAACACACTGGAACTTGTCACTAAAGGTTGCTGTTAATACAATAACAAGCATGTAGGAGCTGTAGTCTTCTGGAGTTCATAGCATGAATGTTTCTTCACTTACAAAACAGGTGTAGTAATATTATAAGAAACTATAAGGTTCTGTAATTCTTTAAAATGTTTCTATAATCTATAATATTTTCTCCTCTGTATAATAATCCTGTAGTGCTGTCTTATAGCTGTCTATAATACTGGTGTAGTGTCATGTAGTAACCTATAGTAAATATTCATAACAATCTGTAATATTTTGCCCTCTGTGTAACATTCCTGTAGGGCAGTGTATGGTATAGATGTAGTAAAGTAAAAATTAAAAATATTCAATTAAATGTTGTTTTTCACATTATTTCAGTAAATGTGTGCCAATATTTGTGGAAGGCACTGTATATGGGTCTGAGATTGGTGTGAATGCTAGGAGACATTGCCATCTACTGGGCTAATCGAACACAACATGTACATTTTTAGAATTTTCTTTGTAGTTCTGGCTGATGAATAAGTGGACGGATGGATGAATGGATGGATGGATAGATAGATATGCACATGCATATCCCACAGGTCAGTGTAGCGTTCTTTAGCTTCCATGGGATATGGGAGCAGAAGACCCACCCAAGTGCTTCTGTTAACACCACAACACCGGACACAGTGCCTCACCTGGGCTTGAGAGGTTGCTATGTGGACCCTAGAAGACTGGCAACATGCGGCGTGGTCCGATGAGTCATGGTACCAATTGTTTCAGGCTGATGGTAGAGTTTGTGTGTGGCGCAGACCCCATGAAACCATTGACTCAGTTGTCAACAAGGCACTGCGCAGACTGGTGGTGGTTCCATACGGGTGTGTTCTCATGGCATGGGCTGGGTCCACTGGCCTGCCTAAACCAGTCATTGACGTTTCACTGCTTGATGACCATTTGCAGCCCTTCATGGATTCACACATCCCAACAATGATGGGATATTACAGCAGGATAATGCACCGTACCATCGGACCGAAGTTGTCCAGCATTAGTTTGAGGAACATTCTGTTCCTACATTAACCCAACATGATCCCAATCAAGCATCTATGGGGTGTGGTTGAGAGGTCCATTCACACACTACAAATACCATGGAGGTGTGGGTGGCTGTCCAGATGACACGACTCAACATCCCAGACATCTTCCGTCCCCTTGTGGAATCGGTGCCACGTCAACTTGCTGCACTTCGCCAGGCTTGCAGGGGTCTGAGACGATACTAGTTCTTGTCTTCCAAACTAGGTTTGTTGGAGTTAATCAGTGTTAGCTTGATCTTACACTTTGGTTGAAGGTTTTTCCTGATTATTCTCACTGTCCAAAGATTTCTCCTTCACCAGCTCAGTCCAAAGGGTGGCCTGTGCCACCCTCCCATGAAGCATGGCCCTCTGGCCACTCCAGTTACATAAAATGAGAGACATCATTAGTGAAGCAGTCACCAAAGAAAAGTGCGGTGAAAATCTGCCATCAGTGCCGTTTCTAATCAGTTGATGATGAGTTCCTTTCTTGTTCCAGTGCCAAACTTGACTTCAGTCATATACTATCTATGGTCATCTGTAGGAGATTCTTGTGAGATTACATAATAGCTCACTATCCATTTACTGTAAAATCTATTCTTTTTGTCCTTTCCCTCTCTAACTCCTCCTACTCGTATTAGATCGAAGGCAACAACCCACATCACCAGAAAGCTCTCTTCTCTGGAAACAGGTGTGGCAATGACAAACTCATTAAAGACTGCACAGGCAGCTTCCCGCAATCACTGAAGACAAAGAGAAGATATCAGCTTTCAGCCTTACTGAAAGAGGCAGAGAGCAAATACTCACTCTTAGACATCCATAGCTTTGGAGTTAATCTTGAAAATTTCAGTGTTGTTGGATTTATCTTACCATTCAGATCATCAACATGTCTGACGGTAAGTTACTTTCTCTTTCTCTTCACTGCAGAAAGATATGGAAAAGTTAGTTGATCACATTTGCAGTCCAAATTTTGTTTCTGTATGTTTCATGAAAAGAATCTATGAGGCTACTGTTGATAGCAAATAATGAAAGTCAATGGTCACCGAAATCTTTTCTGTAAACACAACTTCTCTCAACGTGCTGAAAACTATACAAATTACAAACAGTTCACTGTGCAGATGAACACAGGCATTGTGGACAAAAGCTGTTTTATCAGATTCTGACTGCAGAATCGGACTCCCTTTCACACACAGTACATTAGAGTACACATTCGACGCTGGATTACATTTGGAGTTTCTGTTCTTTCTACTGAAAAATATATATCTTCAGTTGGAAAATTCAAGATTAACTCATTAGACCAGTTTATAACTAAATATGCAAAGTGTGGACAAATCTGATTGAGTGCTGTTAATGTGGAAAAAACTGTACATCTGATGTTGCCTTAAATCATTCTTTTAAACTGTTATGTTACATAGAGTTTACATGTAAACGTATGTTTTTAAAGAAAACAGGTTTTGTTAGTCTTACAATCTAATTTTCTTCAGTTATCAGATTATTAAGTGCATGTAAATGCACTCATTTTCTGAATTCTTAGTTAGACTTCTAGGACTTACTCTGATCAGAGTATGCGGTTTATGTGATCATTTGAATTATCATAAAATTGCAGAAAGCCGATTATAATCTGATTATTAAGTGCATGTAAATGCACTCATAGTCTGCAAATTTGAGCACCCAGGCTATATAGGTCTATAACATATGTTTGTCATTCAGTAATTATCTCATTTGCTATTATTTATTATTATTAAGTAATGTAATTTAAATTCCAGGACTCCATAACGTTAAGGTTTTGGTTTTTGATTTTCTAATCTTTTAAGAACAGTAGAATTAAAACAGCCTTGAGACTTACATAGTGTGTGTATCACAAAACACTTAAGGCCATGTACTTCATTAAGACTCCCTCTGCTCTGTGAAAGGTGCTCTACTCAGATGATGGAAACTTTCTTTATTTTGCTTTATGTTTAAAATGTTTCATGTTGTGGTAAATGGTCAAACGGTCAGCCCTTACACTGGAATTATATTTGGTGTAGAGCTTCAACTATTTAGAAGTGTATCGTTTTACCATCGTACATCAAATATAGTCACAGATTTGTAAAACCTGTACAGAAACATGGCCTTCAACTAAACTTTCTTTCTCTCACTACAGACAGCTCCACTGAAGTTATTTTTGCTGGATTTCCAATAGAGAGCGAGACTGAAAATGATGTGAAGGTGACCAACAATTCTGTCAGTCTTCTGACGAGCCATCAGACCACAGTCTTCCTCCCTCTTGTTTACATCATCATCTTTGTTGTGGGGTTGCCCAGCAACGCCATGGCCATCTGGGTGTTCCTCTTCAGAACGAAGAAGAAGAATCCCACATCCATCCTGATGGTCAATCTAGCACTGGCTGACCTGCTCTTCATCGTGTGGCTCCCACTGAAGATCACCTACCACTTCAACGGCAATGACTGGACCTTCGGGGAGCCACTGTGTAAAGTCGTAGTGGGGTTTTTCTATGGGAATATGTACTGCTCCACTATCTTCATAGCATGCATTAGTGTGCTGCGCTACTGGACAGTAGTGCGTCCACTTTCGCGGAAACCAAATAGCCGTGTAACAGTCTGCATATGTGTTTGTGTGTGGGTTGTAGTCTGGCTCATCACTGCACCGCTATACCTGTATGACCAGACGGTTAAAGTCAACAATCTCAACACAACCACCTGCCATGACATCACTCGCTCCAACCATACACACTTCCCTGTTGGATATTTCCTGACCATGGGCACTGTGGGATATGTAGTCCCCTGTGTGGTCTGTATTGTGTCATACCCACTGACCTTTCACTCCCTCAGCAGGTCCACGTCAGACGCCAGCAGCAATAAGAAAAAAAGGAAGGCTATAGTCCTCATGATAGCTGTGCTGGTGATGTTCCTGGTCTGCTTCACTCCCAGTAACATCATGCTGATGGTGCATTACTCTCTGCTGGGTGCAGGGCTTCAGAATGAAGTCTATGGTTTCTACATGTTTGCTCTGTGTCTGGGCAGCCTGAACAGCTGCCTGGACCCGTTTGTGTACTATTATATCTCGGAGGAGTTTAGAAAACTTGTAAGAAGTGCCCTGATCTGTCACAATGAGCACACAGGCAAATTGATAAGAGTTTCTTTCAGACCTGTAAAAACATTGAAAGAAAGCCCAACCCCTCCAACAAGCACAACATCGACATCCACGCCTACAGTGTATAATCCAAAAGAACCCATTAAAGATTCTCTAAATGCATCTGTCGAGCAAGAAAATGCAAAGCTTAATTTTGATTAAAGGCATTTCAGCCTAAAACTAGCATTTAATAGGTGGAAAGGCCTCACATTATATAAAATCTTAAACACTGGTGGACTAAAGAAAAATTGAGAAAATAATTTGAAAAAATTGAGAAAATCCCACTGCATATAGACACTTCTATGACGGTTACCGTGAGTTTTGTGCCATGTTGTTTTATTTTGAGGCTGTTGTCTGAATATGGAGTGACTGTGGTGACCACATGGCAGGGCACTATGAAATCTACTTGTGTATGAAAACTACAACTGTCTTTCGAACCATCTGAGATGAGTTTGGGCCCAGAGGACTTGGCAGCGTTTCTGCATTGAACTGATATATGGATTGGAGTTTTGAATTTCATTTCTTGATGTAGACTCTGTTAAGTGACAACTATTTTCCAGACAAGTCCTTCTGAGCCAGCGTGGTTATATTTACCACAGCAGCATGATGGTTTCTCATGCAATGCTGTCTGAGGGCTCGAAGGTCATGCAGATTCAACTGAAATCACAGCAGAAATCACAATCACAGCCTTATTACATATATGTACCATATGTACATTATATACATTAATTAAAATATATACAAGGCACAAGACCCTTCTAACAAGGACCAATCCATATGGTCCACACTGTCTCAGCTTGCCGTGGGACTGTAAAAAGCCAGGTAAATGATTAGGATGCTTTCCCCCAGCTCAAAGCCAAAATGCTGATACTTCCAGATAAGATTAAACTGATACTGAGATTACTGACCAAAGTAGCATGAAATAAGGAGGTTGCTGGGGAGCAGGGAGCACTAAAACAGAGGCACAGTGAGGATGTATTTGTGGAATGAAATAACTAGGAAAAATGTGACCTCAACCACGACATCTCCTGGATTGCCAGTGGGACAATCTCATCCACCAGGAATTTCCGAGTTCATTTCCTGTGACAGATATAGAAGATGAACAGCTGCAGTTCAAAGCACCACCTTGTTATCTATAAGTTCTAGTGCTTCATATTGTTCATCCATGTGAAAACTTTACTTCTTTACATCATCTTAAGAAAGTTTGAATGATGCTGCTTACTGGTAAACGTGATTTTGAGACATTTCTGATGAATGTGAGTGAGAGGTAACAGGGTTGAGTGAATATTAAGGGATTAGCAAAAGCTATAATGAATGACTCATGAAACAGTATTTTTCACATATTAATGAGAATTAATGATTTTTGAAATACTTCAATGATTATAAGGTTATGAAGGTAAAGTGTAGCTATGATGGACTGTTTTCCTTATTTATCTGAAAGATGCACATATGTTGCTGTAAAAGTAACTTTACCTGTTTACAATGTCTTTATCTTTACTTTGCATACATACTACTGAATTTACATTCACAGGGACACAAATGGCAGTCCAATTGTAGAGTCACCCAATTAGTAAATTCATTCTGAACTGCAGTATCAGACACTTTTTAGTAACTATAGACTGTATTCACAAAACCAAGAAGAAGCATCCTGCGGCCATATTGTTGACATTCCATCAACATAATGTATATGAGCATTCAGTGCCAGCTGTGGCTTCCAAATATATGAAGAAAAAGTCAGTTTGATCAGAGGGGCTGATCCGTACCAAATCAATAATCTATCTTAGAATCCAAATTACACGTTACTGTCCAAGATAACATATGCAGTCATCTATAATTACCTTAAAGTAGAAAAAATCTAGACATAAGTAGTTCAATTCCAAAGGTCAGTTATCAATCCTGAACAATTCTCAACATTAGTAAATGATCAAAACACCAGAAATCTTCCCTCTCGTAACGTCTAGCTGTGACCGACTGTTCAGAGCAGACTTTGGCAGCATTATGGTGAGATCCTGAAAGTTTCTTTTGTTTATTCTCTCTACTGAAGATTTCTCTTTGGCTCACTCAGCTCCTCAGCCTCTTTCCCCTCATGACGTTGGACAGCCATCGTTAAACCCCAGTTAAACAAAAAGAGACAGTCAGACATCATCAATGAAGCAGTCACTATAGAAAAGTTCTGCTAAATTGTGGGAAAAGCTTTACGGTGAAAATCCTTCCACTGCAGCCACTCGTCTTCGATCTCCATCATCATAAGGAAGACTATGGAGGTGGAAGATGGAAATCAGAGTGGTTACTAATCCTTTAGGATGCACTCACTGATCAGCGCATCTCACATGAGACTAAACTCAAAACCTTAATGCTATTCTTGTTCGTTTTGCTTAAGAAAGCAGAGAACATTGGCTTTCAGCACCTAAATAAGTCCATTTATCAGTGTAGTACAGCATTTTTTACACTTTGTGCTCTATGTAGATTACTGTAACATTACTGTGCCTGCAGACTGTATGTTCATCAGAGAGTAGAAACAGTAGGTGTCCTGCATCCCTCCAGCTCCACTTCCCAGAATCCCATGGGAGATCACGTGAACTTCCTCAATCCTCCAATTACTGCTCACTACCAACATACTGATGTTTTGCACCTGTTCTATGTGTCATGTGACCAGCCTAGTTCAGTTTATAAGCCCGAGCTTTAGTATAGGTTAGTTGTGAGGTATTGCTGCTCATTTCAGAGTTATTGAGCATTTCCTGTTTGCCATTTTTATGTATCTGACCTGTTTGATCTGATTGCCTTTCTCATGTTTGTCCTTTTTAGTCTTTTTGCTGGATTTGACCCATTCATGATCACTGCCTATGAATATTGTCAAACCCTTCACAAATAAAGGCTCATTTCTTGTTTTTTACTGCAAACATCTGGCTGGTTTTGTCACTTTACAAGAGGGAACAAAACACATATTATTCACATGACGTAATGGAAAACAGGGTAAAATCAGAGTGAAATTCTATTCAGAAGGGTGAATTATGACCACACTAATAATTTTCCCAGTGCACCTCTGCAGTGCTGCTCTGTGAGCTACATTATATGAGGCTGGTAATGTGATGGTGGGATGAAGTAACTATCAAATTGATAGCTAGTTACATTTACTATGGTACAGTAACATCTATCATTTATCATGTAAGGTAAATGCATTTTAGAGCTGGGTACATACATGTGTTTAATGATACAGGCTGGATTTTATCAGAGGTGGTTCCAGTGCTAAGTATAAGTTGCTGTAGTTGCCCAAACCAGTATTCTTTCATAACATTAGGTTCAACAGTTTGCCAACCCAGTAAAATCACTGGGTCTAACCGGTTTCTAACATACAATAGAAGAGGTTCTGGCTACGCCTCTGTAGCAGGGATGTCTTAAAAGCTTACAGTGTTGTTGCTGTTGTTACTTTAGCCATGAAGCACACAGCACACCATGGCCATATATTATCAGTCAGGATGCTTTATTAACTACTCTAATCTGCAAGTACTGCAGTCATTATAGCGCTGACTGGTGATATATCAACATTATGGCCATTGTATTTACTGTCCAGAAGCACCAGTGAACCTACACGAGTCATTGGAGTTTTTATATGAAATGTCGATGGTAAAATAGTGAAAAATCTGGGAAAAAAAAGGTTTTCTTCGCAAACTATTTTGACTCAGGGCACCCTGCATGTTTCCATCTACCATGACTGGATATTAATAATATTTTAACACAAAAACCTTCTCAGGAATATTGTAAAATAACATCTCAGATATCAGGCTGTGTATTCATAAGAATTTCCTGTAGTAGCTTTCTGTGGGGGAGCTTTTAGAGGTGGACGTCTGGTTCCTTTCACCCCCACTGTGAACAGTTCTGACTCTAAGTTTCTCTAGAATGAAGTGTTTCACACCAAACCACTCTGAACAAATTTTTATTAAATATTATATTATGCAGCAATTGGGCAAAATGTTATGGGACGGCAGGTAGGTGGACCCAAGTGCACAGCGGGAAACCCGTGAGAAAGGGTCTTAAATGAATTTAATGAGGTGATGGAGTGTGAATTGAGTGATTGTACATGTTGAGGTTGAGGCAGCTCAGAGCCAGACTCGAACCGTGAGGTTCAAAGAAAATGGTAAAATCACTGAACTCCCTATTGAACTGTTTCTGCACATCTTACAGCTCAGATTGCTTAAAGAATGGTTCTGTGGAAAAAAGACTCTTACATAAATTCCAACTCACACCAGATGAAGTTGAGCATGTTTGAAGTCCAAATTTTGTTTCATATGAAGTGGAACTATGAGGCTAACGCTGCTGTCAGGCTCGGACAGAATTCAGATGCTTGCAGACGACATGTAAGTGAAATGGGTTTATTAAGAAAGGGAGGATCCAAAATCAAGGTCAACACAGTGACCATGTGGGAAGTCCAAAAAGCAACAACCAAAAATCACAAGCAAGGTCAAACCAGAAAGTACAACAATAGCGGAAGGACACGGCAAAAGGCAAGGTCGATAAACAAACAAGGCAATGGTCATACACGAAACAGCAATCAAACAGACTAGACGGCTCAGTAAGGCTCTGAAAACAATACTTCACAACGAGACTAAGCTAAAACCCAGGCTTATATACTAAAATAACTAGTACATGGAACAAGGAACAGGTGTGGGTAATCAGTAGTCAGGTGAGGCAGACCAGTGTAGAGTCATGTGAGGGGAAGATCATGTGGAGTTCTGGGTAATGGAGTCCGGAGACTAGGAGGCAGAGACAGTGGGAACGGAGGGAAGTGTGACAACACTAGAAGTCAGTAGTCACCCAAATCTTTTATGTAAACACATCCCAAAAACCTCTCTCAACATGCTCAAAACTATAAACATACCATTCTATATTACGTAGTCCTTGCTAATTTGAGCACCCAGCCTCTATTTATTTAATAAGCATGGTAAAATATTTCTGTTGTTTGGAAATTTTCTTATATGATGTTATATATAAATAATGTTATTTCATTTCTAGGACTCTGTATTGTTGAGGTGTTTATTTTTGCTTATTTTTGTTTTTCTAATCTTTTAAAATTAGTAGGACTAAAATAGCATTGAGACTTGAGTGTGTATATGACATATATATGAATATTTAAGGCCATGTACTGCATTAAGACTCTCTCTGCTCTGTGAAAGGTGCTCTACTTATATCACAGAAATCTTTGTTTATATTGCTTCATATTTGAAATATTTAATGTAATGGTAAAAGGTCACAATATTAGCCATTACACTGGAGTTATATTTAGTGTAGTGCTCCAACTAATTACCTTAAGTATGTCTTATATTCATGCATGTTCATCTTCATACATCAAATGTAGTCCCAGATTTGCAATACCTGTGCAAAAACACAGACTTCAACTAAACTACAGTCTTCTTTCTCTCACTGCAGACATTTCCACTGGAGTTAATTTTGTTGGCCTCGCTATAGAGAATAAGAATGAACATGGTGTGAGTGTGACCAACACTGGCACAAGTGTTCTGAACAGTAATCAGACCTTCCTCCCTCTCGCTTACATTTTCATCTTCATTGTGAAGTTGCCCACCAATGCCCATGGCCCTCTGGGTGCTCCTCTTCAGGATGAAAAAGAATCCAGTGTCCATCCTGATGGTCAATCTAGCGCTGTCTGACCTGCTCTTCATCGTGTGGCTCCCACTGAAGATCACCTACCACTTCAACGGCAACGACTGGACCTTCGGGGAGCCACTGTGTAAAGTCCTAGTGGGGTTTTTCTATGGGAATATGTACTGCTCCACTATCTTCATAGCATGCATCAGTGTCCAGCGCTACTGGACAGTAGCTCACCCACTTTCCAGTCCAAATAACCCTTCAACAGTGTGTGTATGTGTTTGTGTGGGGATTGTAGTCTGGCTCCTCACTGTACCGCTCTACCTGTATGACCAGACGGTTAAAGTCAGTAATCTCAGCATAACCTCCTGCCACGACGTTACTCGCTCTAACCAAACACATTTCCCTGTTGTATATTTCCTGACCATGGGCATTGTGGGATATGTAGTTCCATGTGTGGTCTGTGTAGTAGCATATCTGCTGACCTTTCGCTCTCTCAAGGGATCTATAACAGATGCCAGCAGTAATAAGAAGACAAAGAAGGCTATAATCCTCATGGTTACTGTGCTGGTGATGTTCCTGGTCTGCTTCACTCCCAGTAACATCATGATGATGGTTCATTACTCTCTGCTGGGTCCAGGGCTTCAGAACGATGTGTATGGTTACTACATTGTTGCGCCTGAACAGCTTCCTGCACCCATTTGTGTATTACTTCATCTTAGCGGAGTTCAGAGAAAATATGAGGAATGTTCTGATGTGTCATAATCAGCACACAAGAGACAAGACAAGAGTTTCCTACAAACCTGGGAAAAACCTTCACAGAAAGCCCACCATCTCCAATAAACATATCTCTACCTACAGTGCAGAATCAGACTGAACCAACCAAAGCTTCTCCATAAAAATCCATAATAAATCCATAAATCTTATAACATTTTAAGCACTGGTAGACTAAATTTTGGCAATCCCACCCATATAGGCACAATTTCTAAGTCTGTTATTGTAAGTTTTATCAGTGTTTGGTGAAAAGTTGCATAAATTCAATGATGAAACAAAAAAAATCCTTTTATAGCACTCCACCTGGTGGTAAAACTGAACAGGTATAAACCATCCAGAAAGTATAACATTATGAGCAATTCCTTGTTTTTATGCTCATTGACCATTTTATCAGCTCCACTTACTATATAGGTGCACTTTGTAGTTCTACAGTTACAGACTGTAGTCCATCTGTTTCTCTGCATACTTTGTTAGCCCCCTTTTACCCTGTTCTTCAGTGGTCAGGACCCCCATGGACCCTCACAGAGCAGGTACTATTTGGGTGGTGGGTCATTC